AAAAAAAAAAAAAAAAAAAAAAAAAATTATATATATATATATGTATATATACTATATATGTACATATACATATACATATATATATATACATATATTTATGGGAATTACATAGACAAAATATCAACAAGTCTTACCAATTATGTAGATGTTGTATATTATATTATTCATATATGTATGTGTATTTCGATATATGTAGGTATACATAGAGTTAGAGCACGACATTCAATAGTTAAATAGTTCTACATACAGATACAGATTTATAGCTAAGCCCAAGTATACATGTATATAATATTCGCATGTATATACACACATATTATATATACACTCGAGTGTTACTATTTAGTATATTTAGTTGTCTAATTCCTAGTCCGTTTGACGCACTCGCCTTTAAAGGAATCAAGTCGAATATCTAGTTATCGATGATCGACTTAAAGGTTCCCTTAAAAGAAGTCGTCAAAGGTTTTTGATTATGTTTGGTATTGAAGCATCGGCGCCGATAAGTTCGGATGATGTGAGCTATTCATGCGCAATGCGGATAGACTTTTGTTATACCATTCGTCCTCCGGCGACATGCCTGAAAGCAAAATGAAGAAAATATACGATTGTTAGTTGGGTTAGGATGAAAGACTGTATAGCATGGATATGTTAGCATATTTATATGGAATAGGTAAATGTATTGGTATGAAATAAGACGTATGCGAAATAAGGTTAAGTTGAAACTTAACTTTTTTGATTATTTCAAGTTGAATTTTAGCTACAAATGTGAATTTTATGTATATATCTTTATGAATAAATATTTATATTTAGTCGTTTGGGTAATCTGGTATAAGGAAGTGAGGTTAAATCGGCCTAAAAGCAAAATCGGATTAAAGATTAGTCCAAGTGTTGATTCAATCAACAAGTTGTCATCCTAATATACATAGATATACACATATATATGCATAGACTGTGACTCTTCAAGATTTCCGCTACATAAATGCAAAAATCAATGAGGTTAGGTTGAATTAGGCTAGAGGTTATGATGAATCAGCTGCACATATTTCGATGATTATTCAAGATTTCCGCTACGTAAATGGAAAATGGGCCGAGACGAACACACCCAGACACACACACATACATACACACACACACCGACACAGGATGCCTAATGCCTAACTGGACTTGAGAAACTTGTCTTGACTTTATTTCTCTTTTTTCGTTTATTTTGTTTTTCTTTTTCTTCTTCTGGCCGGAAATTCATTTGCAGATTTGTCGTCGTCTTGACTTTTGCCTTGCAGCCCTCTCTCTCGCACTCTCTCACACTCTCTGTCTCTCCATTTTTCCTTCGCTTTCTTCCTCTCTCTTTTAGTTAATAATATCCGGTTAAGTAGTTT